TCCCGAGTTGCTCTGCGGAATCCCGGGGCTCTGAACCGCATTCAAGTCCCCGACACCGAAGTTCACGAAGTTGTTGTTGGCGGCGGCAGTGGCCGGCTGCGCTGGAGAAGGCCCGGTGGGGTAAGCGGCGGTGCAGCTGTAGCCAGGGCTGCAGGCCGCGCCGCCGTAACCCGGATAGGCGGGGTAGGCGTTATAGCCGTAGGCATTGAGGCCCACGCCGTAGGCAGGCGCGTAGGGTGCCGAGTCCCCTAAGCATGGTTTGCCATCGCGCACCAGCACTGGCACGGCGATCCTGCGGGCAGGCGGCGGCGGCGGCGGGGGCAGCCCCACCAGCTCCAGAGTCTGGTCCTGCCGCTGCCGCTTGCACTTGTAGCGCCGGTTCTGGAACCAGATCTTGACCTGCGTGGACGTGAGTTTCAACACGCTGGCCAGCTGGTCGCGTTCGGGGGCCGACAGGTACCGCTGCTGCTTGAAGCGCCGCTCCAGCTCGTAGACCTGCGCCTGCGAGAAGAGCACGCGCGGCTTCCTCCGCCGTCTCGCCCGGGGCCGCTCCGCGTTGTCCGCCTCTGGCTTCTCCAGCTCCACCACCTTCTGCAGCGCGCACAGCTCTGAGGGGGAACAGAGAGGCAGAGAGACGCTTGGTAAGAGCGGCTCGACCTACGGAGCGCGGCCGCACAATAATGGTAAGGGATCCTCCTGGATGCCACTCTGTCCTGCCTGGAGAGCCTAGCTGGCTGCGGCTCACTCTGCCAAGTGCACTGGGAGCCACCGACAAGTCTCACTCAGCATTTGTCGAAAGTCAGGCTCGGCTCAAGGCTCTGGAGAACAAAACGAGAGATCTCTGCCCTCGGGGCAGTTCACACCCTGGTGAGGGAGACAGACGGTGACTTAAAATTTCAGGCTGCAAAATAAATAAATAAATAAATAAATAAATAAAATAAAAATAAATAAAATAAAACCAGGTGTTGCTCTGGGGTGAACTGAATTAGGGCTAGTTTGGTTTGAGAAGTTAAACCAACAGAGGCCGAGGCCTCACTCTTAGGGACAGTCTTATCTCAAAATTAAGGAATCAAGAAACAGAAGGCCAGGAGTGTTGGTTTGGTGATCGGAGGCTCCAGCCTGGCCGCAGCAGGGTTTGCGCAGCGTCCAAGAAGCCGCGGGTGGGCAGGCGGCCTCGGAACTTGCCTTGCTGGCTTTCTCGAATTGGTAGCGATCAGTTCTAGCCGCGGTGCCCGCCCGAATTTGTTCACAGGCCTCTATTCCTCAACCTCCGAATTCTCTCCCGGCTCACAGCGGTCTTCGCCCAGCGCCTGCGGCCTCCCGGGAATCGCCCGGGCTCCTGCCTTGGGCGAGGGTCTCCCAGCAGGCCCCTTTCTGCGGCAGGGCCGGCCTCCCTCCCGGATCCTGGGATGGCCTGCAGGATGACCCCGCACCCATCTCGTCCATTCCCCCGCGCCCGCAGTAGCGCAACCTTTCCTAACTTTTCCACGAGGGAACCTCTCCGCCCTGGCCGCGCCAGGAAGTTGTGCTGAAAAAATAAAGCGAAGTCAGATTCCAGAGGCTCCGCAGTATCCCATTTTAAAATCAAGGCCCTGGATCCCAAATTTCACTTTCCTGGCGCAAAGAAGGAAAGAGCCCAGAAACCCGGGTCGCGGGTGGGCTGCAGAAAGAAGGTCCAGGACCCTCCTCCGATTGTACGCAAAAGCGTGTCTGTGAGCAACATTTCAATTTCTGTTTAGCGGTTCTCATCAGATTCTTAAAAAGATCCGTAAATCCAAAGGAGATTTAAAAACAGAGATTATCTAATTGTCTGTCTGTTCTGTCTACCATAAACCGATTTTTCAACTTCCTACCAGACCCAGGAGCAGAGCCGAAGCCGCCCGGGGCTTTGTTAGGCCGGGGGTAAATGTTTTTTGGTCTCTTGCTTCTGATCCTTTCAATCTGGCATTTCCTCTGAATCTCCGATTGGACGCGGGGCGCGGGAGCCCTGGCGACAACACCAGGCATCTTACATTCTGAGCCCCCCGCCGGATCCCAGCCCTCGGCCCAGGGGCGCGTGTCTCCTCCTCCTGGCCCTGAGTTTCTTGAGGGCGAAAGCGACCCAGGAGGGGAGAAGGGGGCCTGTGTTTCCTCCTCACCTTTCTTTTCGGCTCGAGGGTCCTTGGCTGGGTCGGGGTCGCTGTAGGCACGCGGATAGAAGGCGGGGGCGGCGGGAAAGGCAGACGCACACTTGGCGGGTGAAGGCGCGGGGCCCAACTCTGCGCGCAGCTCTGGGAGGCCCGGCGCAGCCGCCTCGGGCCCGGCGTAGGCCTCTGGCTTGAAGGTGGCCAGCATGCAGGAGGAGGGCGCCAGGGTGGCCTCCAGGCGCGCAGAGAGTTCTCCGGCGGCGGCCAGGCTGCGCTGCTGCTGCTCCAGGTTCAGGATGTCTTTGACTGAGAAGGGCGTGGGCGTGAGCGCAGGGCTGGGGAACATGGTGGCAGCGCCAGTCTCACAGCGCCAGGTGGGCGGCACAGAGCGGCGCTGCCCACTGCCCCTGGCAGCTTCCCTGCATGGTGCCGCCGCCCGCCCGCGCACCCGCCGGCCAGCTCTGGATGTGTCTGGGCAGCAGGTAGCGCCGAGCACAAGGGGCAGGAGAGGCGGGACCAGGCCAGAGGAGGGGGACTCAGCCTGCCATTGGGCCAGGGGCCTCGATGACAGCAGCGATGAGCAGTTTCGTGTCACCTAATATAGTCATAGGGCTAAAAAAAAAAAAAAAAAAAAAAAAAAAAAAAAAAAAAGCCCTGCTCAGCTTTTTTAAAGGGGCCAGGACACATTTGGAAGGGTCTCCTTTTGCTCCCTAATGTGAGCCTGAAAAGCCTACCAGAGGCACGCAGAGTCAGGCCTCTGGGCAGGGCTGGATGGGTGTGGGTTTGAATAAATATTCCTCAGCACCCAAACCAGAATGGGAGAGAGAAGGATGGGGTGGGAAGCGGTGGGGAGGGGAGTGATTTGAGGAAGGCTTTATTACTGAAGGTGGTAGGAAGAAAAGTCTGGAGGACAGGACTGGCTTTGGGGATAGCAGGAGGGGGAGATTCTGGACAATTTGGGGGTTCAGTTTGGCTTGGCCTACAGGGCCAGTCATGCCACAGGCTCTGGGTGCTTCTGGATGAGTCAAGGAAAGTAAGGGCAAGGTGAGTGATGGCCAGGTGGGGTAGGAGTGGCTGCCTCCTACAGTAGTGTTAGGCACAGCACAACTCCAGGGGGCATCAGTGACTGCCAGGACTCTCCCAGGGAAATGCCTCTCCCCTTAATAATGAAATGAATCAGGAATCCCAGCTGGTAAGCTCAGCTTTCCAGGAGACACCTGTCTTGTGGTGTGCCCCAGCTACTAGCCACCTCGTTTCCCCTGTTTGGAGGCCACGGATCCCACCCCCCTCCTTCCCGTGCCCTCCCTGCCTAGCAGCAAGGCCCTCAGGCTTCTGCCAACCTCGAGGTTTCAGGGCCTTAGCCCAGGTTTAGCTGTCAGGGAGGCGGGGCTTCTCTGAGCCCAGCTAGGCCAGGATTTCTCCGAGGCCTCTGGGCGGTACTCGGAGAGGGCACCCCTGCGGCTCCGTCAGGCGCGTGGGGGAAGGGCAGGGCAGGTGAGGTGATCGTGATCATTTTTAGCCACAGGGTCAGTAGAGTAGGGCGCAGAAGTCAGACAAATTTGCCAGAGTTTCAGGAGCGCCGGCTAAATGGCCAGGTCCTGCCCGGGTGGGCCTCATTTCTCTGGGTCCCCGCACTCCCTGGGAGGTCTTATGAAAGCTTGGGGTCTTCTCCATTCCCCAGAACACTGCAGAGAGGAGTTTTACTTTGCTTACAATTCAGGAGTCCGGGTAGGCAGAGTGGTCCCAGGTTAAGGACGCCTTCTAGAGCTGGGGATGACATGATTTGTCAGTGGAAAAGCGTTGGCTTCGCACGGCCTTAGCTGGTGCAGGGAACCGCAGGCAGGAAGCTGGGCGGGACGCGTGGACTTGCGGAGAATGGGGACGTGGAGGGCTTGGCTCTTTGCGGAGTGCGGGTTGGCAAGAGGCGCTTGGAGTAGAATAAAGGCGGCGCAGGGCCAAAAGCAACCTAAAGACACAGCTCCCGCACGCGCGCCCAAGGTGCGGAGGAAACGCACAATGTGTGGAGACAAAATAGTGTCTGTCCCGAACGTGCATCTTGGGTGCTCGAGCCCGACAGTGGGCCGTCTGAGACGCCGACACAAGGGAAGTCTAGCACTGGCCTGATGTTGGGACTTTTTCTGTCCCTCATCAAAGCCACAGTCCCAGGACCTGGGGCCTCCATGCTAGAGCAATGGAGAGGTGAGCTCCACAGGGCAGCCGAGGAGGCGTGCAAAGCCCTGACCCCGGCTTCTAGGCGCCAGCCGTCAGTAACAGGCCTGGGTTGCCACGCTGAAATCACGCCTCGAGTTTCTGAGCCAGGGACTACTGGGGGTCTGGAATTGTTAGCCTAGTCTGTGGAGGATGCCTTTTCTTAAATGTGGGGCTCTCAAGCCCCAGGAAACCTGTCCCCCCACCTCTTCACCTCCCAACCTAAATTCTCCTTGGACGGAACTGCATGTCAGCAGCCTCTGTGGCCCTTCCTCGCCTGAACTTGTGGCCACGTTACCGTTATGGCTCTAAATTAACCTAGCTTGGGGGCCTGCCTTGCCTTTGAAGATTGTTTTCGGGGCGGGGGGGCGTTGGAGAGGTTGCCTATCGCTGAGGCGGTGACGTCTGGCAAACGAGCCACATCCGATTCAATTAAATGTCTCGCTGAAAAGAGCTCGGAACGAGGTTCCTGGGAGCGCTGTTAAGTGAATCTGCTGGCCGGGCGACTTGCGATGACAGTTTGAAAGATTAGTGTGAGCCGACGCCTGAAATATTACCGTTTAATGGGGGACATCGAGGCTACATCCGGGATCCCTGTTTTCAGGTTCTTTTTTTTTTTTTTTTTTTTTTTTTAGCGTTCTGGAGAAAGAAAAAACTAGCATTGCCTTTACAAATCAAGGCGGCAAGGATTTATTTCCTACTTTCGGGTAAGGGGGCTTCCTAGAGCTGTCAGTCCTGTGGGTCAGGTGTTACAAAAAGGGAAGGAAAAATACCCTCCTTATTTGAACAAAATTAGTGACTTTTACACTCTCTATGCCCTGTGTGAATCGGGTAATGACTTCTCTTGGCTTCCAAAAAGGTCTTGGTGTTGCAGGAGAGAGGAGGTGGGGCAAAAATGGACAAATGCGTGCAAAATAGAAATTGGGGGGACCCATGCTGGTCCCCTTAGAGAAAAGTCCGAGAGCGATTCGCAACTTTTCTTGTCAGTCCTCACTGTTTCCGAGTGAGAAAAAAAAAAAATCCCTCTAAATAGATCTAAATAGAAGTTGCAGTGGTTGGGGGTCGGGTGGAAGGAAACTTGATTCTCTGGCCCCCAGCAGGGACACATCTTTTTTCCCAAGGGCCGCTGACCCAACCTGGCCGCCTCTCCACGCCGCACTTTGACCAAACTAGCAGGACAAACAGCCTTCAGCCTAGAGAAAGGCAGAGAGAGACAAAAGGAGAGAGGAGAGATCAAAAATCTATCCGTGTATTTCCTTGACTTTTAAAGAGTTGGTGCTTTAAGATCATCCAAATTCCAGGGTGGCTCGAGCGCATTCTCCGTGAATAAATTATTATTAATTGAAAAGCGATCGGCGCAGCCGGAGCCGGCCCCCCTTTCGTGCAATCAGCAGGGCTGGCCGCAAAAGGTATATATGATTAATTGAAAGATAAGCTGGAACTATCACCGGGAATGTCATTAATGCGCCGGGGAGACGTCCATTGGAGACAGGCGGCGTTATCCGCGGCTTTATCTTCAACAACGCCTAGCTCTCCGCCCGCGCGGGGGAAACAGATGGGGGTTTCTGTCTGGGACGCTCGCCCCATGTTTATATTTTGGGAAGAATCGCAACTCGTGGGAGTCCCCGGCTGGCCCCCTGATAAATGAACATTAGCACTTTTTCGGACTACTGTATCAACAAAGGGGCTGCGGCGCTGCAATAATTGGCGAGAAAGCAAACAGAGGGCCGAGAGCGCGACTCTGCTCTTCGTCCCGCTGATGGATGAGCAGCTCCGGCTGCGCGCCGGGCTCCCGGCCTCGGCCTCCGCCTCCGCGCCGGGCCCGGCCACTGGGCCCCTCCGCCGCCCGGGCTTCCTTCCTGGCCAGGCATTGGGGGCGGGGGGCGACTCTGAGGGCCGCCGACCTCGCCCTTGGCTCCGGAAGAGTCCAGGCGGCCTCCGCGGCACCGGATTTTTCCTGCCTCGGGACGCGCCTCATTCGGGTGGCTCAGCTGGCACCAAATCCTTCTCATTCCCACGCTTATTCAGCGCCCACGGGGTGTGCCATGCGCTCTCATCGCGGATCCTCTTATTCCGACTGCAGGCCTGAGGAAAATGAGGCTCAGAGACGTGGAGTAACTTGCTCAGGGTCACACAGATGGGAAAGGACAGTGTCAGGGTGTTAGGATTCGAACATACAGCTGACTCCAGAGCTGAGACTGTTTTCTTTTATTGCACGTCGTTGCGCCCAAGACCATACTAACTGGAGGAAGAGCAAGACCGCCACCATCACCCCCAACCGCGCAGCCCGGGAAGAGGACCAGGGCTGTTGGATTTGAGATGCCAGGTCTCCCCAAACCTTCATAGACAAGGGAGATTTCCTGCATAAATTTCATTTGAGAGAGAGAGAGGGGGGAGAGAGGAATTTAACATGCATTCAGTTCACTTTCGCCTTCCCCTTCCCTCGCTCTCCCGCTTTTCCTTTCCCTTCTCCCCTCCCTCTCCTCTTATTTTGATAATAGCTTTATCGAGATATAATTCGCATACCATACAATCCACCCATTTAAAGTATACAATCCAGTGATTTTTAGTATGTCCACAGCGTTGTGAAACCATCATCACAATTTTAGAACATTTTTTGTCACCCCAAAAAGAAACTTGTGGCCTTTAGTCATCAACTCCAACCCCCTCTCCCACCTTCCCAGCCCTAGGCAACCGCTAATCTATTTTCTGCCCCTATAGATTTGCCTGTTCTGGACATTTCATACAAATGGAATCATACACTATGTGGCTGTTTGTGTTTCGCAGCATTCACTTAACATAATGTTTTCAAAATTCGTTCATGCTGTAGCACGTATCATCTTGTTCCTTTTAATGGCTGAATAATATTCTATTGTATGTCTACACCACACTTTGTCCATTCATCCTCTTGATAAACATTTGGGTTATTTCCACATTTTGGCTGTTATGAATACTCTTCCAGCCCACTTCTACGGAACCTTTAGAGTCCTTGAAAGGGCCTTCTTCCCTCTCTCCCATAATTAACCCTGTCCTTCACGGGCATAGCCTCTGTGCAGTCTCACAGGGCCTGAGCTTGCTTTAATGTTCCGCTGTTGCTCTCTTAAAACTCTTAATAAGTTTTTAATCAGAGGGTCCACATTTTCATCGTGCGCTGAGCCCACAAACTATGTAGTCAATCCTGCTTTCTGGGCCATCTGAGCAGAGCCCTGGATATACTAACTCTCTATTGCCTGACTGGGTTTTGACTTTCTTCCCGCCCCCCACCCCCTCCCGTCCCCGCTCCCGCCTACCCCTCCCCAGCCCCCTGCTGGCCAGCTAGGACAGACAGAAAGTCCCCAAGCTGCTTTAAGAGTTGTCCATGGAAACTTGCTCAGCCATAGGAAGGGCCTAGAGCCCACAGAAGGAAAGAGCAGATCCACATGGCTAGTGAATACTGTCCGTGTGTGTGTGTGTGTGTCTGTGAGGACAGAGGCTAAAAGAGTGGACCAGAGTTTTCACCCAGCCCACAAGTGACTCCACAGCCTGGTCACTGTTGGGTTCTTGGCCTGATTTTCTCCATTCCTTCACCTACATTGACTGGGTGCCCACTATGTACCAGGTGCTGGGGATGCACAGTCCAAGATGCAAAGACCCTGAAAAAGGCAGGCGTGTGTCAGAAAGAGCGCTGGCCTCTGAGCCTGTGGTGGGTGTGGTCCTGCCTTTTCGGCAGTTGGCTCACCTTGAGCATGTCTCTTTTCCTGTCTGGTCCCCAGTTTTGTGTCTGTCTCCTCTCCTTGGTGGTAAGAGGTGTACCCAGCATTCCTTTCCAGCTGCACTATCCCGGGAGACATCCCAGGTTCTTACCTGAATTCACCTGGAGAGTAGGCAGAGGTGGACAGGCACGTGGGTAGTTGTCTAACCAACAAAGTAAAACTGGTTAAGATGAGAAATAAGTCTCCGCCAATTGTAATATTATGCTATTTGGGGGAGGGGGGATGATCTATATGACAATATGCTTTCAAAATAAAGTGATGTTAACATAAGGAAAATGTAATGGATTTTTCTTATACCAAATACATTCAGTTTCAGATAGATTAAACATTTAGATCCTAAAAATGAAACACAAAAGTGCTACAGGTAATTAAAATAATTTTGGAGTGCTTGTACATTTGGGAGGGTGGATGAAGAGAACAAAAGACCTAGAAACTACAAAAGATGAATTATATAAACCTGATTGCATAAAAATAAATCTATGCACAGCAAAAATACCATAAATAGAATCCAAGAAAAAACTATACTCAGGAAAAATGCTAGAAATACATGACAAAATACTGATTTCCACAATATGGAAAGAATATCTGTAAATCAATAAGAAAATGATCCAGGAAAAGTATTTAAAAAATGACCAAGAGTAACAGAACCTTGCTGGAAAAAATAAAAAGAAATAAAGAAATGCAAATTGAAACACAGAGAGGCAAAAGTTTTTACTTATCAGACTGACGAAGATCAAAAAGTGCAATAGTTGCTTCGTCATGCTTTTACATTGTAAACTGGTAAACCTCTTTGGAGCAGTTTGGTACTGCCAAAATTAAAAATGCATAAGCTCTTTGAACAAATATTTTCATTTCTAGGATTGCATTCTATAGGTATATACATGTATGCAAAGAAAAGCATTTTCATTGCAGTTTCTAGTTTTTTTAAGAATCAAAACATGTTTAAAAAACAATATATATATATTTGAGGACTGGTCAAAAAATCATGTTGTACCAATAGAACAGAATACCATATGCCATGAGAAAGAATTACATTCATGTGTATTCTTATGGGTATGTTTTGAGATACTTTAGCAAACCAGGTACAGAATTCGTGTTTTAAATATGGGCATATGTACACATATGGTTCCAAGGGGTTTTTTGGTGATGAAAGCTTCAGGGGAAGAATAATTGGGGGGCAAGTCAAGAATAAACATGACACTTTTCATAATACACTTTTTGGAACAGTTTCCTTGTTACTTTTGGGGCTGCAGAAATATCTCGGCCAGAATCCTCTGAGGTGCATATTAAAAATGCAACTTTCTGGGGCCCATCCTAATCTTGGAGTTTAAGAATCAAGGATGTGTATAGTTTGAGACAGGCAGCCAAAGCAGCCAGGCAGCGAAATCTCCATGAAGGGGTGGCTGCGAAGCCCTTAGTGTAGGAAGACTGCGTAGGGTGGTCAGCGGAGCCCTAGAGAGAGAGGAGGAAGGGTGGCCTTTGTCTAGTACTATCTGGGAACAGGACCCCAGTGGCACTGGCTGCTCTCAAGATCTCTCCTGACTTGTGGTTTGGTCTTGGGGTCTTGGACAGTGCGGGTCAGGGGAGGGGGCAGGGATGGACAAACTAGAGGGCAGGCCCAAGTCTTGTAGTCACTGAGGATGCAGAGCCTGGTCTCTGTGAGAAGGTGGCAAAGTGGGAAGATGAAACTGGCTTATGGCCTTGGTAGCTCCACCCAGGCACTCCCCACAGGCCAGCAGAGGAGTTTAGCTGTTCCTAGATTGCCAGGCCCCTGGCCTTCAGCCCACTGTCCTTCCTTCTCCTGAGGGCCAGACTCTAAAAATCTCTGAAATAGCCCTGAATCTGAACCAGATCTGGAATCTGACCTAACAAGGTTGAAGTGACTTTCCTGTCTGGGGCCGGGGTAGGGGTAAGTATAAATGGAAGTATTTCATACCTTGTTTCTCCAAACTCGGCAGGGACCCTTGTAGCCACTGATCCTGGCAGCTCCCTGAAGTTTGGGGTCTGCCCAGGGGTGGCACAGCCTGGAGCCTCTCAGGCCAGCACGGACTCCCGCTGCAGGGGGATACCACTCTCATCCCCTGGTGAGATCTGAGGTTCCTGTCGGGGCCTGGCCTTCCCTCACAGCGCAGCCGGCCACCCCATCTTTGCTGCAAGCGGGACTGTGTGCAGCTCACAGGCCAGGACACAACATCCAGGGAGCCTTTGGTCCTCCCACTCCTGTGGCCTTCAGTAGCCAGTCCCAAGGAGATGACAGCCACACACACCAACGTAACCAGTGGATAAGTTTTGGGTCCTCATTTCTCCTTGATGTTGAACACATGAGCAAAAAAGCAAAAAACAAACAAACAAACAAAACAAAACAAAAAACAAAAAAACAGAAACAAAAAAACCCAAAACTGAACGACATTCATTTCCAAAATATTTTATGAGCTTGGACAGCGAGTGCTTATTCTTCTCCCTCTGACAGGATGCACAAGTGTCTCTTGTTCCCGCTTTTGTTTCCTTAACAATTGTTTAACATTTACATCAGTCACTCTGCTAATGATATATTTTTGAATAAATAACACATCATAAAAACAAAACCAAACCAAAATGAACGCGTGTTAAGAGGGAGATCAATGTAAAGTGTCCCAGGCCTCTCCCCTAGCCACCCAGGCAAAGCTGTTACCGGCTTATTTAGGTTTAAAATCCACTTTATTGAGGTTTAATGTACCTTGAACAAAAGGGTACAGTTCGATGAGTCTTGACACTTGGATGCGGCCCCCCTCCAATAACAGCCACCATAATCAAGATACAAAAACATTTAGGTCACCTCAAAAAGGCTTCCTTCTCCCCTTCGCAGCGAATCCCCACTCCCTCCGAAGCTGCCACTGGTTTTAAAAATACATCCTCTTAGAGAGTATTTTTGCAAATTGAAATCATATTATAGGATGTGTGTATGTATACATATATATACACACACACTTTTTTTTTTTCTGAGAGCAACAACTTTTGCAAACTCCTTTGCACTTTGTGCTTGTCTGTTTTGTATTGTTGTAAGTCAGTTTTCTTACGCTCTGGGGAGTATGTTTCCCAACCCGAATTTATCCTGGATGATTCCAGGATACGATACGAAAGTGGATACGATCCGCTTTCAAACTAGTGTTAGGGTTTGCCTCGGATTCCGAGGATCTGAGGGAGTCGCTTTCTGACTTCCGGTGTCCTTTCGCGTTAATTTCGTCCTCTTTTCTTCTCCGGGCTGGGGCTGGTGGTTGCCACATCCCACTCACTCTGCCCCGACGGCTGCAAACCGTTTCAGCCAACACGGGCGCAGAGGCGGAGAGAACTGAGACGCTGGAGTCAGTTCCTCGGAGTCCCGTCGCTGGAGGTCACGGCTGGGAAAATCAGGTGACATTCGAGTCAGAGGGACAACGATTCACATAGAGTGAGGAGGAAAACGGTTGTCCTGGGGCTGGTTCACGCCTGCCCGGCGGGCGTGAAGCCCGGGTAGCCGCGGCTTAGGAAGCACCTTCGGCGTGGCGGTTCAGGTTTGGGAAAAGAGAGCTGGAGAACGGCCGCCTGTTTTTGTGCCCGCGCGGGGGACCAGCGGGGCCGACGGCAGCGCTGCGGGTGGGTCGGGTCTTCAGCCGCCGCTCCCTGGAGAGGAGAAGAGTCGCACCCACCGCCGGGCGGCCTCCGCGGCTCTGGCCGAAACCCCGGCCGGCCGCAGCTCCGGGAGCCCCCGCTCAGTGCTGAACTGACGCTGGAAACGACTGGCCGGCGGGCCTAGGGTCGCCGCCTTTCCCTGCTCGCCTCTTCCTTCCTTCCGGGTCGTGCCCTCCAATCTGCTGTGCGTTAACACAGCGAAGTTTCCATCGCCCGGCGGAGCGCACTGTGGAACAGCTGGCAAATTGTCGTGTTGCACACACACGCAAAAACCCGTTCAATCTCGTATAATTCGGCGCAACCGGTGTCTGTGGAGAGCCTCCCGGGGGCACGGCACGGGGAACCCGGAGGCCAACAAGCTGCGGGATACCTGAGCAAATTCGGAATCAGCAGCCCCTTTCGCTGAGGGCGTTCTGTGCTCCTAGCAAATTGGCGAAATGCGGGGATTCAGACAAGAAACGAGCGCGCTAGAAAGGGTCGTGTTGACACATCCCATACTTTAAGTGTACACATGACAGTTGCAGACATTCAAGCCCTTAAAAGGAGCACAATGGAGCGCTTACATTTTAGACCTGTGTCTATGGGATACATCTACAGCCACCAGTAACCCGATTTGAGTGTCGAGTTGATGTGCTTTCTTTCTTTATTTTATTTTATTATTTTTTTGAGACGGAGTTTCCCTCTTGTCGCCCAGGCTGGAGTACAGTGGCATGATCTCGGCTCACTGCAACCTCTGCCTCCCAGGTTCAAGCGATTCTCCTGCCTCAGCCTCCCGAGTAGCTGGGATCACAGGCACCCATCACCATGCCCGGCTAATTTTTGTATTTTTTGTAGAGACAGGGTTTCACCATGTTGCCTCGGCTGGTCTCGAACTCCCGACCTCAGGTGATAGGCCCGCCTCGGCCTCCTAAAGTGCTGGGATTACAGGCGTGAGCCACGGCGCCCGGCCTGATGTGCTTTAAATTCGCTGAAACGACACGGGTACACACGCGCGCCTTAAGTGCAGTCACTTTCTGTGTGTGTGCATGTTTTACGCGCATATGGTGGAAAAAAACTTTTCAAGCGCACAGAAGACCATACTGTGGGTGCCCCTCGCCGCCCCCAGCGTCCCGGCCGCCCTCCGGAGCCGATCTGGGAACACACACGTTTGTGCCCTCTAAGCATCAATGTGTTTTTGCTTTCCCCGCGCCTAATTGTGCGCCCCCTGTGCAGACCCTCCGTTGTGTGGCCTTGTGTCTTTAGGTAGCGAACATCTTTTGTCTCTCCGCAAGAAGCTTTCCTCCAGGAAAGATAAAGTAATCGATAGGGTCTTTTAAATAGCTCCGCGTTTCCTGTCGGGAGAGGAGTATCAGCGCGTGCACCAAATCTGCTCTGGTATGTCACCTTATCTCCCGTCCCCGCTGTTGTCCCCAAACGCCGCCTGTCAAAGGAGACGCCACCCGCATTAGGACCTAGACTGGGGCCCTTCCGCTCGGGGTCAGGCGCAGCTCCCTCGGCTTGGGCCCCGCCGCCCCTTTGGGGGTCCGGGAGGGTGGACGGAAGAGACGGGAGCCAGGATGAGGGTGCAGGGGCCCTAGAACCAGAGGCTGGTAGGAGAGCAAACTCTCAAACGCGCTGAAACCGGCCCTTCTGGGAGAAACATTAGGGCGAATCTCTCTCGCCCTTCCTAAAAAAGGAAGGAGAGCTTCCTTTTTTTTTCCTAACCAAGAAAATAGGAAATCTTGGTTACAGGCTAGTTGTGAGCGAATCCTCCTTTGTCCGCGTCCGGAGGAAAATCAGGTTTATTCTTCAGAGAGGGCCGCTTGGACTTTAGGAAGTGCCTGCCGGGTCCAAGGTTACTTTCCGGACTGCAAGGAGATGAGGTTTCGCCAGCTACAGTCCTAGCCTCTGTCAGCGTCCCCTCCCCAGGCTGCAGCAAGCTGGAGTCAGAGCTGACTCCCTGCCGCAGGGCAGGGCTGAAGGGAAACAAGGTGCCAAGGTGCCGCCAAGGCAGGTCTTCCAGCCACAGCAAAGGCCCTGTGGCCAGCCTAGGCGGCCCCTTCCTGTGGCTAACCCTCCGCGATCTGCAGGCATAAGTGTTTCCAGGTGCCCCAACAGTGGCTAGGCCCTGGGCCTCTCCGGACGTCCAAGCACTGTTATGCAAATCTCCTCATTTTTCATTTTCTGTATTCAAAGTTCGCTGTATCCAGTTTTTATTTTAAGAAAAATAAACCAAATAACAATAACAAAGCACTCGCAGTCTCCTCCTGCCTTCCATCCCCAAACCATGCACAAACCCATCAACCACCTCGGTAACACGGAGAGTGTTTCTAGTCTCACAATTAACCACGCGGATCCCCTCTCTTGAGAAGCTGCAGGGGAAGATACCTCTTGGCTTCAATATAGCCTTGCTCCCTTCCGACTTGCCCGGGATCACTCTGGATTACTCCAACTGCTGAGGGAGGACCACCCACCAAAACACAGCCTGGGGGAAACCCGGGCCTTGGGAAAATGTGGATTCTCATTTATCAGGGTTTATTTATCCAAAATAAAAATTACTGTAGGGAAGTAAAGGAGGGAAAAACACCTTCCTCCCTTAGGAGGCTTTTTTGAACGAAACTTCTTCTCATTCTTTAAGGCCTTGGTTTAGGCCTTCCTATTCCCTGTGGGCCTTTCCATATTATCTCAACCTTAGTGATAAAAAAATAATGAATTTGATTATTATCAGTAACCAAAGGTTGCTGGTGGAGGAAGGGAGACTCGCTGTGTTTTCTTGCATGATGTGTCATTCGCACCGTGGGCTATGCTGGAACCAGAAGAACATGAACTGGACATCACTCTCCCATTCCGGGACCAATTCTTGAATGCCCTGGTCTCCTGGCCTCTTTGGTTACTCTGGTGACCTAGTTACTCAGTTCTGGGTAGCCCTGGAGATGACTCTCCTGGAGCGGGAGGGCTGCCTCTCCCACTCCTCCAGGTCGGGGGCCCTCAAGCTGAGCTACTTTGAATGAACACTTTAGTTAGAAGGAGCCCTGGGAGATTCATTTCTTTTCTTGTAACAAGATGTGTGGGTGGGAGATGAGGAAGTCCGGGCATTTATAATTCAGAGTGGTGAGACAGTCAAGGGGGGTTTAGGTGAGGACCCCACTGCATCATCCTCTCCCTAGATGTGACAGTCATCTCCTAGGGACCTAGGCCCTTTTCTTAACAGTAGCTGTGCTGCCTCTTCATTAGAAGTGGGAGAGGGGAGGTGGGACCAGGTGGCACTGGGAAAACTCTCAGCCACTCCTGGATCCTGCCTTGGATCCTGCCTGCCAAGCCATTCCTGGATCCTGACTCTGGGAGATGCTACTTACGGGAAGAAAGTGGGCTTTGCTTGCGCCTGTGACAAATTATGGGATCCCTTAAGCTCCCAACCAAGTCCAGCAGTGTACTTGCTTCCACTTGCTGAACACTTTTTGATTTGGGGGAACTTTTAACTCTGGTGTAACACAGGATTGCACAAAATAACAGTGAACAGCCCCATGAATTTTTACAAACTGAGCATTGCTGCATCACTAGCACGAAGTTCAGGAAACAGAACATTACCAGTAGCCACAAAGCCCTCTTGAGTTGTTTCCCCCCAGGGCAGTAACTATTCTGGCTTCTAACAACAGAATAGTTTTGACTGTTTTCAGACTTCACATGTATCTAAATACAGTATGTACACTCTTTGTGTCTGACAATTTTACTTAGTATATGTTTGTGAGGTTCAACCACATTGTTTGTAGTTGTAGCTAGCTACTTTTCATTGCTGTCTAAACATTTCATTATGTGAAGATGCTACTGTTTATCCCCATTCTCTGCTGATGGACATTTGGGTAGTTCCCAGTTTTTGACTGTTAGGAATAGTAAGTGCTGCTATGAATTGTCTTGTGTGTGTCTTTTGGTGAACATGTGTGCACATTTCTGTTGGGTAAATTTCTAGGAGTAGAATTGCTGGATCATAGGATATTCACAAATCCAGCTAGAGTACATTCTACTCAGCAGTTTTCCAAACTGGTTGTACAGATTTACACTTATACTGGCAGTGTACAAGAATGGCGGTTTCTCCACATCTTCGCAAACATTCGGTATTATGTGTTTTAAATTTTAAGCCGTCCTGGTGGGGGTGTGGGGGTGTCTCACTGTGGTTTTATTTCACCTTTCCCTAATGACTAATGAATTGAGGATCTTTTCAAATGTTTGTTGATTTTTTGAATATACTTTTTTTGTGAAGTGCCTGTTTAAATCTTTTGCCTTTTTCTTATTGATTAGTGAGAGTTCTTTTTATATTTGGATAGGAGTCCCTTGTGGGTTATACGCTTATTGTGAGTAACATTGCCCAGTCTGTGGTTTGCATTTTTACTCTCTTAATGATATAGCACCTATTTTTGGCTCTGGTCTAGTGACATACTTCTGACCTTGAGGTTGTAGTACTGCTAGTCTATTCCTGGGGTATCTGTGGCTGAGATATTTTCTTGGGCTCTGGCCTACCAGACCTGCCAACATGGTAAAATCTTTGAAGACAGAATCCAGGGCTGGTTCTGCTTGTTTTTCTCATAGTGAACTAAAGCTTTGTCCTCCCCGGGAATATTTTAATGACCCATTAACTAGGGGGAAACTGCAAGAGGACCCTTTGGATTTTACGGAGAGGGTTGAATTCATTATTATGTATCCCTTTTTAATACACAGTAGTGGGTCAAATCTTTACAGAGCAATGTAAGCAGAAGAGCGTAAATCCGATGAGTTTGGAAACATGCACAGTGTAAACCTGGAAGGAGAGCTGGGGCTCTACCCACTTTTAAAGTCTCAGTCTGAGCCCTGCCTCTTCCAGGAAATTTTTCCTGATTGCTGCTGTTCAGGAAGAGTCACTTTCCTCTTGGAGCATGAGTGAAATGTGGGTATAATTTGGAGCAATCCTTCTGGAAAGCAATTGGGAATTTTCATTTTAAAAATCTTTACAAAATATAAGGTGAAAATAGCAGAAAGTTAGTTTTAGTTATTTTAATCATTTTTTAGTATTTTTTTTTTTTTTGACAGGGTCTCACTCTGTCTCCCAGGCTGGAGTGCAGTGGTGTGATCATGGCTCACTGTAGCCTCTACTTTCCAGGCTCAAGCGATCTTCCCACCTCAGCCTTCTGAGTAGCTGGGACTACAGGTGTTTGCCACCACACCTGACTAGTTTTTAAATTTTTTGTAGAGAGAGAGGGGTCTCCCTATGTTTCCCAGGCTGTAACTCCTGGGCTCAAGTGATCCTTCAATCTCAGCCTTCTGAGTAGCTGGGACTACAGGCAGGCACCACTACCATGACTGAGTAATTTTTAATTTTTTTTTGTAGAGACAGGGTCTAGCCATGTTGCCCAGGCTGATCTGGAACTCCTTGGGCTCAAGTGGTCCTCCCACCTCGGTCTCCCAAAGAGCTGGGATTACAGATGTGGGCCACTATGCTTGGCCTATTTTTCAGTGTTTTAAACCCGTTTGTATTTTTCTTTTTAAAGAGGTGTTATCTTAACAAGTTTGGGGAGTTATGGAGAAAATTAA